GAGAGTGCTGTGATTTTTTTTTTTGAAGGGGGGGGGGCAGGTTGGGAGAGCTGGTTAATTTAGCAAGCACTGGGGACTGGGAAGCGGTGAGATGGGTTAAGGCAGGGGAAGCCTGCCCAGCTCAGGTCTCCGTACCACACAGAAGGATGCCTTAGCCAACTGATCTGCTGCTTTAAACCAATTCCTTATTTCCAGCAGCCTAAAGGTTAATGTTCAGCAACAGAACATATAACATGAGTGTGGTTAATTACAAGGGGAGCTTTACAGAAACGTTGCCGAATGCCTGGGTTTCCCCAGCCTCTAATTTCTTAAGTGTTGGCCTTTTTGTGTACTAGGTTTGAGGTGCTGCTGTTTTCATCTTTACATAACAGCCCACACAGCCTGAAATCTTCAGTATGTGTGCGTGTAGACAGCTAACCCCTAGGGCTCGCCTCTCTATTAATCCTGGGCTTGTAATCCCCATTTGGGTTAATGGTGCCTAAGTTGTCCATTGGTCTGTGCGTCTGGCTTTGTCTGATGAAGATAATGACCCAGACCCCTGAGCAGAACGCATTTGAAATCAGACTTATCTTTCATCTCCTTTAAAGACTCAACAGACTTCCCAGCTTCCTCTGCAACTGCTCCTTTCTTTGTTAAAAAGTCAATTCACATTCCTTACCTGGCAGCTTTGCCATTTGTATGAAAGAACCATTAAGTTCCCGCATCTCGACCCTCAGCCGGCCGGGTCTGCAGTCCAGGGGGACCCCAAAAGCTAAGAGTAACAAACGGAAATGAGTCACAAAGGCACACAGTAGGGCTGTGGAGCGTGCTGCTGATTGCAGACGGAGATGATTGGTCTCTCTGGGGATTACGTCTTGCAGGGTTGCACTAAACAGCATCCATAGATGTAGAATGGTAAGCTTGGGTCAAAGTTCGTAACCTCTGAGAGCATGGAGTTTATGTTATCCTTTGTGTGTGCTGAATCCATTCCGTATTTACCCTGAGAGCTGGGAGGCGCTTATGAGTAATTGGATTTTTAGGCCTGTGCCCTGGTCGCTATGGTGGCAACATACCCGTGACCTCAGGGGTCAGCAGTGTGACCTTCTTTTTGGACAGATTGTCTGTGGAGGGTGGAGAAGCAGAGTCTGGCCAGCCGGATCCCTCAGATCCTGTTTCACGTCTTGGCCGAGACCTGGCGTTTCAGCCGGCCAACTGTGGCCGGGAGGCGCAACCCCGTGTGGCGTGGGCGATGTTTCCATTGAAGAGCTTGACCTTTCACCCCTGTGTGTGAGGGGAACCCTCCAGCCCTGCTCATATGCCATTACCTGTCCCTCTCGTGCTCTGAGAAGTCTTTGGTGCACCAAAGTGCACCTCCTCTTGGCAGTGGGGCGTGGTTTAACTCAAAAGCCACTTCAGGATTAATTGAAAGCATTTATAGTTAACGGGCTGTAGAAAGTGTTTCCAAGAAACAACCGCAACCAAAGAGCCAGAAAGAACAGATATTTCTGGAAAAACAAGCAATCGACAGGCCAGCGGTTTTCGCCATAATTCATTTTTGCCTCAGAATGAAAATTTACTAAGTACCCAGCAGGCTGATGAGACGGGTCAGTTTGGACCTGTGCCACACCGGATGTGAGCCTGGCTTTGAGTGGTGTGGGAGCCCAACAATGCTGACGCAAAGATAGACCCCCAACCTGCTGCAGTTCCAGTCCTGGTTACTCGGTTGTTTTTGGCAAATTGCTCTCAGATGAAAAAGGCCCTTGTGTCATGAACCTCTGGTACTTTCTGTCTTTGATCCTGTCCTTGGGTCTGTCTTAGCCACTCCTCTGTTTGTTATGAGTAAAATGCGATGAGCCAAAGACCGTGGGAAATGTCGTGCTGTAATGAACGAGTACACAAACGTTGTTTAATGCTGCATTGGGTTTCACATTCCATTCGCCCATGCATGTTTGGAATGTGTTAAGTAATTCATGTTGTTTCAGTAAATAAACGATGTTATTACATATATAATTTTTCATTTAGTGGCAAAAACTTTATCTCATTCCTGCCGGTTTTTGTTGTTCTTGTTGTTTTAGAACGTGACTGTTCATCAGAAGAAAATCATGGAAAATGTGAATCAATTCATCGACATCCTGATGGAAGACATCAACTTCACCGAACATGATGACAATGTGTCCCACATGGAGGCACTGGTGTGTCCTCCCAGTTTCAACATGGTGGCCGTGCTCTACGCTATGTCCGTCCTGTACATCTTCATCTTCATCATTGGCCTGGCTGCCAACTCGGTGGTGGTGTGGGTGAACGTGCGGGCGGAGAGGAGCCGCTACGAGACGCACCTGTACATCCTCAACCTGGCTGTCGCTGACCTGTGTGTGGTGGCCACTCTGCCCATTTGGGTGAGCTCCCTGCTCCAGCAGGGCCACTGGCCTTTCGGTGAGGCCATGTGCAAGATCACACACCTGGTCTTCAGCGTCAACCTCTTCAGCAGCATCTTCTTCCTCACCTGCATGAGCGTGGACCGCTACCTCTCGGTGGCGCTGTTCAGTGACTCCCACAGCAGGCAGAAGAAGATGGTGCGCAAGTTGATCTGTGTGCTGGTGTGGCTGCTGGCTCTCGCAGCCTCGGTGCCAGACACCTACTTCCTGCAGGCTGTCAAGCCTGTGCATTCAGAAAACACCTTTTGCCGGCCAGTGTACCCTGCAGAGAGTGCCCGGGAATGGATGGTGGGTATTCAGTTCAGCTTTATCGTGCTTGGCTTTGCCATTCCGTTTCCTGTCATCGCGATCTTCTACCTGCTTTTGGCGGGGGCCATCGCCTCCTCGCCGGACCAGGAGCGATGTCTGAGCCGCAAACTCATCCTGACCTACATCGTGGTCTTCCTGGTATGCTGGCTGCCCTACCACGGGGTGCTGCTGGTGGATGCCTTGTCAATGTTGGGTGTCATGTCCTTCAGCTGCCCTCTTGAGAACTTCATCTACGTAGCCCTGCATACCACCCAATGCCTCTCGCTCATCCATTGCTGTGTCAACCCTGTCATCTACAACTTCATCAACAAGAACTACCGCTATGACCTCATGAAGGCCTTCATCTTCAAGTACTCTACCAAGACCGGCCTGGCCAAGCTGATCGACACCTCCAGGGTTTCAGAAACTGAGTACTCTGCCGTGGACAACCATGGCCAACTGTAGGACTGTGTGAGGCAACTCAATAAAGAGACTATTGGAGTTGGAGCTCAGTGACCCAACACTGCCCCGTGTGCAGTCGCTGAAGGGCCATGTGTTATATACCAATGAAGCACTATAAATTACCAAGACCAATCCTTTATATCTTATGGTATAGAAGTGTACTGTACTGTGTAGGCATAGTGACCATAAGTGACCATTGGCAGTTTTGGTCAATAAGACAGGAAGTCTTAAGAAAGCACTTCCAAAACTTAAAGGACTTTGAGATATTTCTGAGGTTTTTTCACATGGTGGGCGGGGGG